GCTGACTCATTAGCACCTTCCTGTGTCGCAGGCAGGACCATGCACCCCTCGGAGAGACCCACAGCCTCTCCTGCCCGTCCACTGATGAGCAAAGCCCACATTGTGAGGAGCCCTCTGAGGCCCTGAACACCTCCTCAGCCCTGAGCTCCCATCCCCACATCCTCAGCCCTGAGCTCTGGTCCGCACGTCCTCAGCCCTGATCTCCGGTCCCCATGCCCTCAGCCCTGATCTCCGGTCCGCACGTCCTCAGCCCTGAGCTCCTGTCCCCATACCCTCAGCCCTGAGCTCCCATCCCTGCGCCCTCAGTCATGAGCTCTGGTTCCCACGTCCTCAGCCCTGAGCTCCCATCCCTGTGCCCTCAGCCCTGAGCTCCGGTCCCCACATCCTCAGCCCTGAGCTCCCATCCCCGCACCCTCAGCCCTGAGCTCCGGTCCCCATACCCTTAGCCCTGAACTCTGGTCCCCACATCCTCAGCCCTGAGCTCCGGTCCCCGCACCCTCACCCCTGAGCTCCGGTCCCCGTGTCCTCGGCCTGTGGTCTGAGGCCCTGTCTCCTCATCCTTAGACTGTTGCTTTTCCTTCCACACCTGCAGCCTCCAGGACATTCTTGCTTCCTGAAGGCCCGTCCTGGCTACTGCTCTCCCTCCTCCCTAATCCCTCCTGCTCCTCATCCAGGGTATTGTCCTCAGTGCTCTGTGCCACCTTCTTAGGGAATTGTTCTGCATTCAGATTCTTTGTTCTTTGCTCTCCCTCCAGTGCACGGAGTAATAAGGGCCCCACTCTCAAGAAACCTCCCATGCGCCACTCAGTCAGTCTCATCTCATTACCCATCAGGCTGCGCCGGGCCCTGGGGGAGCTGCGGGAACTGAGCGCATGGGTGACCTCTTGATGAGTGTCCTGAAAGCCAAGCCTTGGATGCCATCTTTGAGGTCCCCTGTGAAACAGCGCAGCTTCACCCAGCACACCTGGTGCCCCTGCTCACAATGACCGCGGTCCCCCCGGGCTCCCTGTTCTCCCTGCCCTCACAGGGCCTCTCAGGCTCTCTGTGCAGGAAGAAGATGGGATTGAGAAATCACAAGCAATCCCAGACCTCAAAATCATCAAGTGAAACGAGTGTTGAAACACAGGCTTTTTTTGTAAACCACTGAGAAACCTGTCAGAGCAAATGGGGACAATGTTGGCAGATTCCTTACTTGTTTCTCCGCAGCTTTATGAAGCTAACTGAAAACAATCGCCTGTATTTACAGCATACGGCGTGATTTGATTCTTGTATGCGTTGTGAAATGATTGCCACACGGGACCTCATTCATGCCCCCGTGCCCTCACGGGGCTCTCATTGTGTCTGTGGTGAGGTCCGTGAGTATCAGGGCCACCAAGCTGGGCATCAGGCCCTAGAACTTATTCCTCTCCCAACGGCACCCTCACCTGTGGACAGCACGTTCCTGTTCCTGACGCGCGGCCACCCACTGCTCCACGCTCGTCCCTGCGGGTCTGGCTTTCTGAAACTGAGTTCCTTACGTGCCACGCCGCCCACCGGTTCCCGCACTGCCGATGGCCGGCCCTCCCTGACACTGCGCTGCCTGCACCCTGGCTGGACCTGGCTCCCTTTCCCTGTACCAGGTCAAAACCTCTTCTGAAGACAAGCTGCCTTCGGTTTAGAGATAAACAATGGATCCATGTTTTCTTCACTTGGCTCTTACTGCCATACTTTGAACTGCTCTTATAAAGAAAGTTAAGGGATGATCACGTAAAACAAACCCCCCCACCCCCCGCCACCTAATCTAAAGGCTCTGATGTTCCACAGTGAGGCACAGCAGGGGCTCCGGAGGCTGAAAACTCACTATGTTGTGTGTGTGTGTCTGCATCTCAGACCTGCTGCGTGGGGACCGGTGTTGTCTGATACGGCTGACCCCTGGAAGCAAGCGGACACTGAGTGCCCACCGATCTGTCCCCCGTAGTTCAGGCAGCCGGAGAGGCCGCCTCGAGTGAGTGTGGGGCAGCACGCAGTGTTGTGAGGGTGTTTAAATACAAGGGCTCGGGGGATTTCAGGTGTCAGGCTTCCTTGCGCAGCTCAGTTTCCTTCTGGAAACAGTCAGACGTGGTGCTGAGATCCATCCTCCATGCACTGCAGCTCCTCTCTCTGCCAGGAACTCGGTTTGTCCCACCGTCCCTCAAATCTGCCCTTCAGCCTGTTCCCCGCAGGGACAGATGAATTGCGCATCCAGAGAGACCCCTCGATTTGGGGCTTTGGGATTGTGGGACGTTCTTTCACAGTCTGCAAAGGAGCGCAGCTCAGTCAGTGCCTTCTTCTGAGAAACTGTGCCCTTCCTAGTCTAACTCCAGACCCCCACCTCCTCTCCTGAGCCTTTTTATGCCAGGTCCCACGTCCCTCTCTCCCCTCTTGCTCTCACCTCCAGCCTTTGCTCTGCTCACATTCATCCCTCTTCTGGCTCCCTTGCCCAAGCAGCTCCATTGCCCAAAACCAAGGAGTTGTCCTGGCCACCCTCTCTTCCCTCTCCATATGCAATCTGTCCCTGGGCCTGGAGCTGCTTCCTTTTTGCTGTCACAGAAACCTGTCCTTTCTCCCATGCCTTAGCCAGACGTGCAGCCGGCCTCACCCTTTCAACCTCTGGCCCGCCTGCCTGCCGCAGGGCATATGTCTAGAACATGCACCTGCTTGTCTTCAGCCCAGAGTGCCCTTCCCACAGCCCCACCTCGTCTCCGGCACCCTGCGTCCCTGCTCTCTGGCCTTCCACGCTGTAGCCCTGCTGACTCCTCACAGCTCCCGGAGAGCACTGAAGTCAGCCTTACACCCCGTTCCACTTTGCCCCACTACCTGGACGCCCCTTGCATTTGCCCCGTCCTTTTAGTGAATGTGCAATGAGTAATGCCTGTGCCACATGGATGAGTCAGAAGTGGTCCCTACCCCCCTGGGAACTGCAGACTGCAGGAAAGATGGATATATGAATGGCAACCACAGGAAAGCCAGAGGACAGCGGGGGGCTGGAGGAGGGCACATTGCACTATCAGGAAGATCAGCTGACCCTTCCTGGAAAAGGTGGCATGCACAGGAGGCCCACAGAGCCTCTCGCAGTGGCCAGAGGCCGAGGAAGGAAGGGAGGCAGTGGGCTGGAGGCGAGTGTGGCACGAGGGACGCGGAGCCGGCAGTGCGGTGGGGAGCAGGGTGGCAGGGGGAAAGAGAGGGAGGCTGCAGGGGTGACATGGTCAATTGATGGAAGGGCTCTGCAGCAGAGGCAGGATGGCGGAAGAGCACTTGGGGGACGTTCAGCAGGGGAGTGACCAGGTCCACCGGCCCGTGTGAAAGCGCACCCTCACTGCTACATGAAGAAGATTGCAGAGAGTTGACGCTGGAGGTGGGGGCTTCCCGGGGGCCATGCTGCCATCCAGGCAGGAGAGGCCAGGTGGGACCAAAGCAGGAAAGGCAGGAGGTCGAGGCTGGAGAGAAGCAGCACCGTCCAGAGGCATTTCTCATGAGCAGTGCGCGGGCAGTGCTTGGCGGACGGAAGTGGGAGTTTGGGGTGTGACTGGACAGCTGGCCAGAGAGAGGCTCCAATAGCCAAGAGTGGGTCCTAGAGAAAGGAGAGGCTTGGAAGAAGCTCTCTGCGTTAGGCATTGGGCCTGCTGTGCTGGCCTGTGAGGTCTGACAGGAAAAGAGGTCAGGGAGCATCTAGGGAGTCCCACAGCGGGGAGGATGCCACGGTTCTTGGGGCCCCATAGTGGGGCAGGTCATGCAGGACCCGTGGAATCCTGCAAGAAGGGAGGTCATGGTGTCCCTGAGATCCTGCAGGAGGGGAGGCCATGGCATCCCTGGGATTCAGCAGGAGGGGAGCTCATGGCACGTCAGTGGGATCCCACAGGAAGGGAGGTCACAGAGCGTCCATGGTATCCCAGGAGGGAGGCCGTGGCATCCCTGGGATTCAGCAGGAGAGGAGGTCATGGCACGTCAATGGGATCCCATAAGAAGGGAGGTCACGGAGCGTCCATAGTATTCCAGGAGGGAGGCCATGACATCCCTAGGATTCAGCAGGAAGGGAGGTCCTGGAGTGTTCCCAGGATCCGGCAGGAGGGAGGTCATGGCACATCGGTGGGACCCTGCAGGAGGGGAGGCCGTGGCGTGTCAGTGGGCTCGGGCAGTGAGCTTTGTGGACGTCGATGTCTTCCGCTGGGTGGGTGGTGGCTGTTTCTCTCAGCAGTTGTGGCTATGAGGTCAGCATTGGCCTCTCCCCTTCACACTCAAGCTCCCCTCTGCAGACTCGGTTGACACCTGTGGCTTCTTTTCTGTTTCTTGGTGCCTGACGCAGAAGAGGTGCTTAGTAAACCCCAAATGTTAGTCAGCCTCCTTCCCTGGGCCAGGTCACCTTGACCCCGGGCTGGGGTCCTGATGGGCATTATTTTCTCAGCACCGTGGATAGCGCCCAAGTGCCTGTTGTGCGGGAAGATGAAGGCGCCTGCTGGCCTGTGGCAGGGCGATAAGATGCCTTGAGTCCCTGATTGTCTGCCCCAGAGTGGGGTGGTTGGCAGCATCCCTCCTCCTGTCTGATGAGCTCAGAGGCCCCGGCTCTCTGTGCTTCATGTATTTCCTCTGCCTTGCAGATCATCCCGAAACCAAGCGAGCCGGCCCGGCAGCCAGAGAGTCACCCAGAGGAGACGGAGGAGGAGCTCCGTGAGCACCAGGCTCTGCTGGACGAGCCCTACCTGGACCGGCTGCCGGCGCAGAAGGAGGTGCACGCACCAGCTGGCGTGCAGGTGAAGCAGGAGCCCATTGAGAGCGATGACGAAGAGGCAGAGCCCCCTCGGGAGGGGGAGCCGGGCCAGCGCCAGCCCAGTGAGCAGGAGCTGCTCTTCAGACAGGTGACTACAGGCAGGGAGGGCACCAGCAGGCTGGCACGCACAGCCACCCTCGGTCCCCGGGCGGCATCTTCTGTGTGGTGTTCACGGGAGCTGCAGGGCATCCTTGCACTGTCGCTGTCCAGTGTCTCACCCGTCTTGTCCTGGCCAGTGAGGGAGGTTGATGTGGCTTCTGTTTTGTCCCAGCTGTTCCTAGGGATTCGAGATGTTTGCCCACTGCGAGTGGTTACCTAACTGCTTTCCAGCCATGCACAGGCCCCAGAGAATGGGTTTCCTTCCTGTTTGTAGGCTGTAAATGATCACAGCATCCACGTGTTAGTGAGATACAGCATGCTTTTTAAAGAAGTGAAGGAAATAGAGGTATTAATTGATCAAAAAGACAGGCAGGGTCAGAAGTCAAGACCTTTTGTGGCCCAGTGGTGCTAATGAGCAGCCCTGCAGATCCAGACAAGATGGGTACGATCGTGGCACCCAGAGCCAGTAAGGCTTCAGGGCACTGACACCCAGTAACCAAATGCACAGGAGCCTGATGAAGAAGGCCAGTGAATGATTGGTTAATTTCCAGTGAAACATAAAACTTCTGAGTCAACAGAAATACCTAAGGCATTTGGGCAGCCAGCTGGAGCCCCGTATCTGCAGCTAGAGTGTCCTCAGAAAGGTGGCTTCCTCCCTATAGGCAGGAAGCGAGCCTGAGGAACCACAGCTGTAGGATTTGATTCTGTCCTCCAGCAGCAGAGCTGCTGCCTCGGCTGCAGGAGCCACTGGATCACTCCCTCCCTTGTCTCTGGACTCCATGCTGGCCATGCCACTGAGCACCTCCCCAGCTTCCTGACTGCCAGCTGTGTGGCCAGAGCTGCATCTCTACCCCCAGCAGCACCCTGGAAGCCAGGAGCAGGACGCCCTGCAGTAAACTGTTCCCTTTAATTCTCAGCTGCAGATCTTGGCACCGAATGAATCAGTGTGGGGCCTTGTACCTGGAGCACCTAGACCCAAGCCTGCCGCAAGGGGGGTCAGGTCTCAGTGGTCTCCAGAGGCTTCTGGGCCAGGAGCCCTTCTCTACCAAGCTTCCCCCGGCGGCTGGCATTGGGTGCTATTTCTCCTTTTTGTTCAGAGGGCGGCCTCTCTCTAATTTCTGGGCCGTCTTAATTAGCACCCCGGGCACTAAACACTACACAGCCCAGCAGCCTGGCAAAGACAGAGAGAGAAAGCCCCGGGCCTCTCTGGTGCACACACGGTGCTTCGTGGCGAACACTCATCCACAGGTCCCGTCTGACAGGCCCGGGGTGGGGGCCTCTTCCTGTGGTCGGGCCTTGAAAGTCGATGAAGGTCTGAAATTCAGTGTGCTATTATTATGCAGATAAGAAGTGGGAAACTATTTACATTAATAATTTTTAGGACTAGTTTCTCATAGATCGGCGTTTACTTTGAAAAAAGAGGCTTGTTATATTCCAAGCGTGAGACAATGATTAGAAACACCTAATTTCTGTTCTCTCTGGAGAGTAATGGGCAGAACTCCTTATCAGGGAAACTTGGTAGTACACGGAGCAATTTGCCGAGGTAAACCTAAGGCGGGTCACCTTCCAGCCGGCGTCCGGGAGGATTGCTTATTAACCGCTTAACGGCGTGGGGCCCACGACAATCCCAGCTGAATTTGGTTAGCCGCAGACTGGGGGCCTGTGGGTGCTGGCTCCTACTCCAGCTCCTGCTCCAGCTCCTCCGCCTGTCTCGGGACTCCCCTCTTCTCTGCTCCCTCCTGGCTCTGATTCCTATTTTTTTCTTTTTTTGAGACGTAGTCTCACTCTGTTGCCCAGGCTAGAGTGCAGTGGTGCCATCTCGGCTCACTGCAGCCTCCATCTTCTGGGTTCAAGTGATTCTTCC